GGCTTATATTGTACGATAGCTCAACCAATCAGATTGCAGCCTTTTCACCAGACTGAAACTAGTAGATTTCAACTAAATATGAATGGATCAAAAGGAATAATTTATTTTTGTGGTTCTTGCGAGTAGTTTAAGGCTTTTCAGGTTCATTTAGATGTTCGATGTTTTTTCCCAATAGGAAACTCACCATCAAATGCTTTTTAAAGTTGGTTTTGTTTGAAATAAAATGGGTGATAAAAAAATCCCTAACCGGGTTCCAGAAGTCCGATAAGCCGGTTTTACGACAAGTAAAACGATCATTATTCCAAAAACACGTATGAGTCAAATTTTCGACCTTTGAATGAAAACGATTCTAGCATTTACAAGGGCCTCTTAGAGACCAACAAAGCATGAAGAAGGTGGAAGAAAACGAAAGCGAAGAAGATTCCTTACTTAGAGCTTACTTAGCTCTTCGGCGCTACGTGTATAAAGTGTTCAGTGATTGATTGATTGATTGATTCATTGATTCATTGAACAACAACAACAACAACAACAACAACAAAAGAAAGCGAAAAGGTAAACACTAAGCTGTTCTGTTTGTCTCTCATTGAAAAAAATTGCGTTCTGCGCATGCACCAACCAAAATATTTAACATGAAAGAGGATATTATTGTGTACGTTCAAAGGACATTTCTGAGAGTTTGGAAACAAGCTCTTCAGTTAATGGCGCGAAATAAACATTTCTAGTACTTTATTGCGTCGTTTTTGGTTAAATCCCCCTCCAGTGAGTATTTCCGTCCTTACAGTTTCTCATGATTTATCTGGAAGGTTAGCTTTAATTATTTGTACGTCCGCAGCACGAACGAGATGGTTCACCCTTTCGTGGCTATAGGTGTTAAAATTATATTAAATTATCTCAAACATACAACAGTTTATTCTTAACGTATGAAGAAAATGATATTCAACTTTCAAAATAGGAAAAGGAAGGCATACTAAACTTGCAATATTTTGACTGAAATTTAAATAAATCATTTGCAGATTCGGAACTTTTATTATTTGTTAATTTATGATGCTTGTAAACGTGAGAAAATTTGTCCGTGTACTTATAACCCTTATATTACAGAACTTTCTTGAAAACCTATTTGAAGAAAACACGACAGCTTCCGACAACCACAAATGGAGGTATATTTAATTCTTGATGGATATCTTCTCGTGTGTCCGCATCAATAATGTTTCATGAATGAGAGGTCGATTAGCAATACGCAGAGAATCGCGCCTTAAGAACGCATGGTAAAATATGGCATTTGTTTTCGCGAGCATCTTTGAGTGGTTGTGATAGCAGTGCTTTTCGATGTGCGTATCTGTCTAACGTGGCAACTGTATACGAATATCCATATGGACATACATCTTTGCAGAGAAGCATACTATTTTATGATGTTACTCATTTTATAATTCTCCTCGCTGATGCTTTCCTTCACTATTTCAATGATGTAACTACGCATCTGTCTCCCTTCATTTCCTTCCTTCATTTTGGCAAGTTCGCGCCGCAAAAAAAAAAAAAATGAATACCGACTACGCTAATTAAAGAGCTTGAGTATTTACAGTAAGTGTGTTTTGTATGCTTAGCATCATTTTCAATCTATCAATTCTTATCGTAATATATTCCGGTTCCAGATTGAGCATTTAAAAACTTTTTTCATTTAACTGTTGCTCTTTAGAAAGTGGTACTAGCTCATGTAACACCATTGATATAGTTTGAATTCCGTTTTGTTTCCTTACAGCTGAACAGCTCGCACGCCTACCTGGACAACAAGAATATTGAATGGACGATTTCGATTTTGCAAATGTTCTTATGATTAACATGTCTCATCTCAGAACATCTAACACAAGCTGTGTTGAAAATATTTCAAGTAATGAAACTGAAACTTACTACAGAGACACAATTCTTCCTCCGCCATTGGTTGTACTTTTTGCCCTCATGTCCTTGATGATTGTTGCAGTTAATAGCCTCGTAATCTTCTTGATCCACAAAAGGAAATCGCTGAGAACACCCACCAATATGTTTCTTACTTCACTGGCGCTTTCAGATCTCATGGCAGGTCTGGTGGGAATTCCTCTTCTTGTCATCTGTTCGGTGAAAGATGTCAT